TATGTGTTGTCGGGGACAAAAGTCGAACGTATAGTGTTTGTGGCTTGGTGGATTGTCCGTGCGACGTGTGTTTAATGCCGTCACAGCCCATTGTACATACGCACGACGCACCGAAGACTCCAAGCACGCTCTACAACATAATTGACCGACTGTCCATACTTCCAAAGGAGAACCCATCACTTCCCATACACAGCGTCAACTTTGCTTGTCATATTTCGTTTAATTTCGTCCTTCGAATATTAACTAACGTTCAACGGCCAATCACGAGCAACCTAGCGATGCATGCAATCAACTAAGGAAATAAATCCCAACAAAATTTGTCGACCATAGTTTGCAACCCTATTAAATTCCGGCTCTTAAATCACGCCAACAGTTTGATGGACTTCCTCGACATTTATAGCATTGAAGCATTGACGTATTGTCTGACTAAGGTCTATGTACGGGATGTCTGCCACTAGTGGAGGGAGTTATGAACGAGATATAACACTCTATAGTGGAGAAAACAGCTGCTAGCTGTTTGTCGGCAATTTTGCAACTTTGGCGCTTAAAGTTTAAAGAGCTCATAGCACCCTATTACCCCTCTTAGACACTGCATTCTGCTGAAGTGCAGGGCTTACTTGTGGTTTCCTATAGTCTCTAAAAGTAGAACAGGAGCCAGAAGCCTTCAGTTACAAGGCTCCTCCTCCTGTGGGAACCAGCTTTCCAGTTTTGGTTTGGGAGGCAGAAACCCTCTCCACATTTAAGAGTTATTGCTTAAGACATTCCTCTATTGATAAAGATTATAGTTCAGGGCTTGGCTCAGGTGAGTCCTGGAAACCATCCCTTTAGTTTGAGACGATTTAGACTTAGACAGACTTTATTTGTCATTTGGATTGCATCAAAATTAAATTTCTTGCAATGGCACATAGCACAGCAGGAATTAAGAATCAGAATCAGGAATAAGAAATAACTTTAATAATCCCCGGTGGGGAAAAAAAAAAAAAAAAAAAAAAAAAAAAAAAAAAAAAAAAAAAAAAAAAAAAAAAAAAAAAAAAAAAAAAAAAAAAAAAAAAAATTTACTTGAAAGGTGGGTACAAGAAACAGGAAAAACAAGAGGAGAGGGGAGGGGAAAAAAGCCGCTCCCAAACTCTGCTCCATTAGGGGAGTACAGTGTGGGACTGGGAAAAAACCTCAGCCAACATAAAGCACATGTAAGCACACTTTACAACATAAGAACTCCAAACAACTTGCAAACGGGGAGGTGGGAAAGGGGAGTGGAGGCGCACCAGCACAGACAGGAGCCGCAGATGTCCCTGATCAGGTCCTACAAACAAAGTAAACAATCGCCAGGTGTCCGTGAGGAAAGGAAGGGAGGGATGGGGGCAGAGCGTCTCACTGCAGCAATCTCCTGGAGGAGTTGTTCCAGCAGGGCCTTGGCCAAGGCCGGTGCTGCTGAGGGCCGGAATGCAGATTAGATTATGATTGTTTGGGTTAGGGCGAGTAGTCGCATTTCAATAGACACGATTTACTCTATTTGTCCAATCTGGTCTTCAAATCGATTCATTCTCCTTAAACAGAGCCGAAAACATCTCCAAGATGTTATCCATGTTGCGGTTAATGACCACAGTCTGAGCATTAACAGCTCTCTCCAAGATGTTTTTTACATTTTGCGGTGAATCACCACCGTCAGTGCGCTGACAGCTGTCTCCAAGGTGTTTTCCATGTTGGGCGGTTTATACCCACAGTCTGAGCGCTAACAGCTCTGCTCACTCCATCAATCATGTCGGGCAGCTTCATGGGGCTGTGGACTGCTGACACCGTCTTCCGAATTTCCCGATACACCAGGGCAATGCCTAATCCAATCAGCAGATAGCCTGTTATCATGGTTCCGAATATGTAAAGATCCTCGATGTCCTCTACGGAAAGA